AATATAAAATTATAAAAAAAATTGTACTTAAAATTGCCCCGAATCATTTCCTTTAATGATGCATTTGAAAGTGAAGGTCAAAAGAGCATATAAGAAAGAATCTAAGGAAACGTGGATCTAAGGAAACGTGGATGTTGCGTGCAAGCCACAAGGCCTTACTTGTGGCCACAATTTTATCTGAAAAAGGCAAATAATTATTGCAAGCATAAGGGTACTCAAGCTTATTACATACCATTTTCATTCTGTACATAACAACCACCCCAAACAAATCATTATTCGTCTCACTTGATTCTGAACCATCAAAGTTCAGACCTATAATCAGGATCGGTGTTAAGAAAATATTTTCTAGGAGGGCAAAATGAAACTTCGGTCCTACAACAGTTGCTGCTCTTTTTGTGGGAAAGCTGTGGAATATGCAGATCATGTAGTGCGCATGCTCATTTACTTACAATGTGTGGATGACGATTTTAGCTTGGTGGGGAATTCATACAGCAGTTTGCGGTAGTGTGAATGAGGCTTTTTGGCAACTCACTCAGGGACGGTACCATGACAGAAGACAGGCTGTTTGGTCCTTTTAATTCATCTCGGTCTCTTGGCACCATATTTGGGGGCTGAGAAATAGTGTGATTTTTAATAGGGTGGAGATAGATGTTGACAGATTAGTGGTGGTAACTCAAACTAAATCTTTTTTGTGGTTAAAGGATAGATTAAGTGGTTGTTATTTTTCATTGTATAATTAGATTGCCTATCTTGTTTATGTTCTAAAGTAATAAATGTTTAAATTAAGTAATAGTTGAACATGAGGTAAATGAGCAATAGTAACCCTCCTATTTTTAACACAATATAGTTTTTATTGGACGGATCAAAAAATAAAAATGAAACATTAATTAAGAAAAAGACTAAAATGATGCTTTCTTTAGTTTGATTTAGTTATTTCATTTTATATATTTACAATTATCAAAATATTTATTTGTTATAATAATTAAAATGATACTTTCATTAATTGGATTTAGTAGTGTTTTTTTCCTTATATGAAATTCTTTCCTGAATATATTTAATTGATAAAAAAATTTTAATTATTAGTTATATAATAGGTTAAATTTTCATCTAAAATTTATATTCAAAAAGACTTTTAAAAATTAATGAAGAAAGTAATTAAACAAATAAATCCAAACACATTTCTATATCTTTAGAGATAAAGGTAAAATTGAACTATTAACATTTAATATTTTATTAAAATAAAAAGTGAGACAATTAAATTAAATCACTTTTATTAAAAAAAAAAGTAAAACAATTAAATTTCACTAAAAAAAGTATATAAAATAAATTAAAAAAATGAAACAGAAGCAATCATTTTGTTCCACCAATATAAACAAGAGCAGTTGACTTGACATCTACATTAGATTATTATTATTTAAATAAAAAATGGGGACACCGCTTCTCTTCCTGCTTCCCTTGGTCTCTGGCCAGAAAATACTCATTCATCGACACCGCTTCTCTTGGTCCCTGCTTTCAATCCAATTCAATCCTTCCTTCTCCAATCAAGCCGAATGGGTGAAGATGAGAACAACAATTTCATAGCTGGCACAAATTCTATTTCTGGTATTTGTCACTCACTTTCTCATTTTTCTTTTTTTCTTTTTCTTTTTTTCTTTTTCATGTTAATGGGTTAAGCTTCATAGCTTCCAAAATTTGGGTCCAACTTACATTCATGTGTACTTTTTTGAACTCAACAAACACAAATTAATCAATAAAAAGCAATCAAATTCTTAGTTTCAGTGGCAGAGTTATGAATTTACCTTAGGGGGCCAATTGTAAAATTATAAAAGAAGAAAATTAAACTATCAAATTGCATCTTTAACTTAAAAACATTGAAGAAGATGAATTTTGCTAGAATTATAACCTATAAAAAGGAGACTAAGACTTTTATTATAAAAATTAAACTCACATGCCTTAAGTTTATAAAAATTACCTAAAATTTATGTAATTAGTCATAGATTTTAGTTTCAAACAAAATCATTATTACAAAATATTAATATAAATTAATCAATAAAACTAAGATGTTTTAAAGATTTTTTCTTTTTTTGCACATTAAAGATTAATTGCACATTACATAGGTTTTATACTATTGTAAATCAAGATTGATAACTTAGTGGGTATTGGATACCAATTCAATCAAATTTTTATTAGTGAAGATATTTTAAATAATTAACGAATCAAATTCTAGTCAATTGTATTATGAAGATATGATTAGAGTTTATGATCCCATGCTATTAGTTAATTTTCAATGAAATTAATTATTGCATTGGTACCCAAATTAATTTTAGTCATTTGCAAGGTGTAATCCTTACTTAGAGGATAAAATAGCCCACATTATACAATTCTTTAATAACCAATTAAAATTATGATAATAATCAGAAATATTATAGAAATTAAAATTTTACATTATATATAAGTAATGGTCTTCTACACTAAAAAACAAAACTTACCATTCACCTAAAACCAACTAGTACAAAATAAAGAAAATTTTATCTTTTTCTTAAACATTATCAAAGAAAAATGAAAGGTAAAACATAATAATACAAAGTAATTTTAAAATTTTTTTGTAGAGATATTATGTTAACCATTAAAGCCAAATTTAACTGAAATTAAAACGAAACTGAGAGATATAATCTAATAATTTCTCAAATAATTAATAAATTCTTATTTTATATTTAAAATCTTAAGATCCTATTTATACTTTTTAAAAGTATAGGGTGCTAATTAAAATTTTTTCAAAAGATCAGGGGGGGCCGTGGCCCTCCCTGGCCTATATGTGGCTCCGCCACTGCTTAGTTTATAAACATGTCAATTATCCAACAAAGAACGAGTGATGAAACCAACGAAGGGTTGGATCGAGTGGTAAGCGACTTGTTTCAGCTTAAGTAAAGTTTTGAGTTCGAATCCTTGCGTACACAGCAGCATTCGTTGGGAGACTCACTCACCATTTTCAGGTGCGCGACCCGGATCGAGTCCGGATTAGTTGAGGTGAAGCCCTGGATACTGAACCGAAACCAAAAAAAAAAAAAAGAAGAAGAACGAGTGATGAAATAAGGGGAGATGAGGAGAAGGAAGGATTAAAATCCCATTCGCAATCTTGCGTCGGCGGATTACTAAAATGGCAAAAGGTGCAGATCACCCCCTAAACTCAACAACTGGTGGCAAATCACCCCCTCAACTCACTTAATGCACAAATCAACCCCTCAACTCCTCTGCAGTGGCAAATCAGCCTCTCTCTTAACCCTTCCGTTAACATTTAACAGTTTGCTCATCCGCCCTTCTTTTGTGCTTGACGTGGCTTTGTTTTACTGAGATGGATGCTGAGGTGGAGGCATAGCTGGACAAATACCTCAAAATCAACAGATTAAAAAATAAAAATTAATATTTATTTAAATAAATATTTAAT